GAGAGCAAAGAGGGGGTAATGAGCAGGGCGGTAGCGCAATAATTTCCGTGCGGATTCTCGTTGCAACAAGAGCTGCAACAAAGAGCGCGCGCTCAACCAGGTGCAAGAAGACCACAGCGTAAGCCGTTCCCCCGTCACCGAGAGGGAAGAACTGCAAAGCGGCGATAACATGGGGAGTTTGACGCCGCCAGAAAACTCGTGCGACACCAAAACCAAAAGCAGTCATGGAGAATTCGAATTTTGCCGCACCGTCGTCGATGTTCAACGGTTCTACGTCCTCCCCCCCACCCCCTGAATACATTGTCGTACAACACGGCGACAGAGATCTACGTAGGAGATCGAGCGGGCGACATAATACTTTGGGCATCCTCAGGATACCTCTAAGCCGCGGTTGTTCTTCCCATACTCTCTGAGCCAGCCTCGACTCTCGCTTCAAGCCAAATCAAGCGTCTGCTGTACACCTCCATCTTCGTCGCTTCTGCCGCACAAACAGTGTACAATGTTGGAGACGCAAAACCGACTGATGGAGATAATAGTCTTCTACTGTAGCTGCTTGTTATAGTAGACGAAAAATGTACCGTGATCGCTTGCCCCTGCTGCCGGGCCTTAACGAAATCCTCCTCCGCCAGGGCCGACGACTTTTCATCCAGCGACAGCTCCGTCCGACGCGTCGCCTCCAGGTACACGCGCAACCTCGCCAACAGTGCTTCGTCCTCCGAGCCGTAAGAGGTTCCGCCGCATGCATCGACGACAATGGGCACAACCGCGCCGGCGGGAACCACGGACCCCCGGGCGGACAGCGATATCGTCGGGTGGTCCACTTCGAAGTCCATCTTGTAGAACCCGAAGTCGTAGGGAACCTTCTGGAGCGACATGAGGGAGTTCAGTGCGGCGAGATTTGTGACGCCTTCCGTGCCCACTTGCCCTGGCTCCAGGCTTGTCTCGTCTAGTACGACCACCGTTCCGTCCGACAGCTGCAGGCTGGACATCATCAGCCGGTCCGCTTCGTAGTCCTGCCGAGGGTGAACAACAACATGACCAACAAACATCATTTAGCTTCATTTTCAGCTAAAATAGTGCATGAGAAACGCAAGCAGAATCAGTGTTTCGGGGAAAGCATACCACTGCGCGAAGTCTCGAGGAAAACCACAGCGCTGCGGTCGGAGATCAACTGCTAAAGTCGAGAGAAAATGAAAACTCATGGAGCGAATATCCTGGAAGATCCACACCAGCACAGACAACAGCAGTGTGCAATCTTATGCCAGTGCTTTGACGGATTGAGACAACTTCCGCTACAGTAGTAGCACCGCGAGAGAAATGTGCTATGTAGAAAAACAGGTTATCACGACACATAGATATTCAGCGGTATGCAGGGTAGGAGCCCATCCGGAAAGCTACGACCACGACACCACCAACACATCTGATGCCAAGACACAAGGCAAGAAACCATGCCGTATACACCGGCCGTTTTCCCTCCAGTCGCCCGTGTCTGCAGAGCCAACAAATACCACTAAAACCACCCGAAGCGTGGGCCGCCTTCGCGAGGATTTCATTGTTACGTAATCTATGAAAATAGAGAGGGGGGTTTCGTATCTCTGCCCCTAACCCCCAACCCCACCCCGTACATAAACATGCTCGCGAAAGCTACTGCCAAGTTTCGACACGGCCCTCTCGTTAGCAGCGGCAGTGCGGTAGCAATACCTTCTTGGGGGAGAACTTGAACTTTTCCGACAGAGACTTAGTCGTTACCGGCACCGTCACGCACTTGGGCACCAGGTTCGACACGGCGGCATGAAAGCCGGGGGCGTCGTCCGGCCGTACACCCCGCAGGTTCAGGCTCAAGCTGCCTGGGGCCAAAGACTGGTGCGGTTTGTTTGTTGCGGCGTGGCGAAGCGGGAAGGGGAGGCCGGCGAAAAAATATGGGCGAGACCACGTCGGCGTTTCTTCATTTAGCATGGCAACGTTAACGTTTCTTTGAGTTGTAGTAGCACGGCTCCTACTGCGGGTTGGACACCTTTCTTTGCCGCCAGCAAGCACCATGCGCTTTTACTACAACAACATGTGTCACTTTTCGAAACAAGTGATGAGCATCCTTCGTTCTAAGTTTTCGCGGTTGAACTCCCTGAGGGGGCGGGAGGGGAAGAGGATACCAGCGCCACCCTAAAATGCCCGTGCTCGGCGACGCGATTCCCATGACAACGCGGTACAACTCTCCTGCGCCCACGGTACGGAAGTTGGATCGTCCATATCAGCGACAGCAAGCAAAACGCAACATCAACAAACACCGCAACAACTCCACACGCGTGAACCGAGTCAGTCCACCGTACTCCACACAAGAGGTCCCTGTTTAGGGCCTGGTGCCCGTGTAGTGGTGGTGGTTTTCGGTGGGCACACACTTCGTGACCAAGTCATTTGAAGAAGTGACGGTGTCCGCCATAGCGCCGGTGAATTTTTTCTGGGCATGTACCGGCACCAAACAGGGCCCTCCACTCTAGTCCTCGGCCTCGCGTCCACCTCCATCTTGTCGATGCCGCCCCGAAGACCCCTAAAACAACGGCGACGCCTAAAACAACCGCACGCACCTCCGTCCGCACGTACGCCCGCGAGAGCAGCGCCAGAAGCACGTACTCCGCCGCAAGGACGTCGCCGCGCAGAGCCTTGGCCAGGTGCTTGATAGTCTCTTGCTTAGCGTTGCGCATGAAGACGCTGAAGGGCAGCGGCCCTTGGAGGGCGCGGAGGGCATCCTGAGGCTGTTTCGGGTCCACCATCAGGGGTGTGCACGCCGGCAGTTGACGATGGACTGCACCCAGCGAGCGGTGGTGGTAGCGAGTCAGACAGGGAGGAGGGTGTGTGTGTGTGTGTACTCATAGTCGTTTGTGCATGCCGTAGTCGTTAGACCGTTGACCTCGCACCCCTACAAAGCCGGGACGGAGCACGCCGGGTTCTATTCGACGAGTCGCAAAGATGGTGCGCTGCATCGTGCGAAGGGTGTTCGGCATCTTGTGCTTACTTCATTGCATATGGATGACAGCTGCGAATGACTTAAATTTGCTTTCTGGTGCTTTCACTTCCAGAGACAGTTGTAAGCACTGCTGTTGTTGTTGTTTCTCACATTAGCTCTTTAGTTCACAAAAAATGGGGAGCCCGTAGTCTCAAAACCCGGCACATACGACGCCGCGGGGAAACAAAACAAAAATAGGGTACAAACCACTCGGAAAAAGAAAACAAAATGATAGAAAGAAAAGAACAGGTATCGCACCGATCGTTCGAGAAAAGAGCCCTCGGACACCGATCAAAATATAACAAAAACAAAAATAAAGGAGGACGCTTCCCACACCCGCCCAAAGAAAAATCAAAGGGTAACGTACCAGCACCAGGCACTACGCGCCAGGGCATGGGAGTAACGGAGCAAACAGGACAAAGAGGCGGCAGATGGGCAGACAGCCAGACGCACAAAAACAAAGGCAACAAACAGCAAAGCGAGATCAAGGTACCCAACACAGCAGAGTAGGCAGGGAGGTCATGAAAAAAAAAGAAACACAGCACAGAGGCCGAAGGCAATAAAAAGGACATACATAAAGGAGTATAGCATACAGCAGGGAGGGAAACAGGGCGCAACAACATCAGCCGGGTAAATGGTTCGCCACAAGTGCTGCCTCGGCCGCCCTACTCGCTTCTACAGTAGTGCCCGGTCGCCGTTTCTTCCCCCCCACCGCCGCTTCCCCGGCTCTCTTTCTCGTCGGTCCTGAGATGGCCGTACTCTCTGCTTCTGCTTGACTCGCGCGCTGGCGCTTCGCGGACGCTTCCGCCTCCTGCATGTGCCATTTCCTCATGAACCATGCCGCCCCGTCCTCGACCTTGTTGTACCCCACCTCCGGGTCCTTGGCGCTCTCTTTACATTTACCCCCTTCCTTTTCGTCTCCCATGTTGAAGGCCACGAGGTCCTCTCCTAGACGAGACACCCAGTCGCTCTCCTGCCCGCCCCGGTATCCCACGCCCCCCGCCATCGCTCCTAACAGCATGCGCTTGGGGAGGCGGCTGTCCTCCATGCCCATAATTAAGCCCACGAAACCCAGTCTCCGTTTGCGCACGGTGGCCTCGATGGTTTCCTCGCAGCCTGCCTGGATGAGGGCCTGGGCATAGGACAGGAGGCGGTCTGAGCGTTTCCGCTTGCTCCAGCCGATGCACCGTGTGAGGAACTGGCGGTGGGTCCCATTGAGCTTCGTGTAGTGCTCCGCTGTTAGGCTCCACGAGGCGCACCCATACAAGAGAGTCTCCATCACTTCAGCCTGGAGTAGCCGGATCTTGAGCTGACGGTGGGCCCGTCGCCTGTTGTACATTGAAGCACTGTTCCGGCGGTAGCACTTCCACGCTTGGCAGCTGCGGCTCGTGATCTCCCGGTCGGCCTTCCCGT